TTTACGTAGATATGATAGAGGAATCGATTTTTTTACTGAAAAATGTGCTAGAAGTACGCCCAAAAAAGTTATGAATCATTAAAAAAGAAAAAGAAAATATAAATTATAGTTCAATACCACCTCCACAAGCCACATAAACAACAGTTGTTTTGTTTTTTATTTATATGGAGGAAGAAAGGTTAGGTGCACAATGTCACTGAATGTTTTGGAACTCTGAACATAAGTAAACAGAAAAGCACGCCTCTGAAATATGTCATCTTTGTTTGTCTCATACAGGCAACAGATTTATTGTCCTTTATTAGCTATAACCGATTTGCCAAATGGTGAAATAGAAAAGAATCCCTTTAAATGTTGGATGCATTATTCCATTCCTCTTTTTTTAAGCATTTAAATAATTTTTTAAAGAAAAAGTTCAAAATGCGTTGTTTTAGAGCTCTTTTATGAAAACTACTTGATTTTCGTCAGGAGGAACATTCCCCATTACTCCGGTAATGGAAGGAACATTCCTCATTACTCCGGTAATGGGGAAAGTTCCAAACAGTGCATCACGAGAGTTTACGAGTAGTCAAGTCTTATATGTACATATGATGATGCCTCTCTAAAAACGAGAGATTATATCGTATTTTCAACGGTACGTTTGACAAAAAGTATACTAGTAAACTAGTATGTCTGAAAATTGGAAAGCAGGTCCAGTAGATCACGTACATTATTTATTGCCCAGCCCAGCAACAAATAATAAATTGTTCATGGTAACTAGAATTCATTGGACACTGTGTAAATTCATAATAAATAATCTACGATGCGGCAGTACCCTATTATTAATAATCAACTTGCGTTCATCTTCAAGATAATTGGAAAAATAATTGGCGTACATACTTTATGTTGGAAAGCCCAGTATTTACATCCATATTTGCTATTACCTGATATGATGATTCTGTCGTACCAGATTATTTATTCTGACAGAGCCGGCATCGATAGCTTTTGTTCAAAATGTACTTGTAATAAATGTACTTACTTATAAGGTTTGATGATTCTCCTAATGAAAAAATCAATTTCAAATCGATCTGACTTATTATTTCCGAGAAACTATTAAAGCTCCGCTGCTGAAACGTATTTTGCTCAGGTATATCTCTCCGTCTGTCGTTCATGAAAATTAGGTAACAATTACCTAATTGAGTGAATTGATTGATTGAATTAATCAACTGTATGAATATTAATATGGACTGTCATCGCGACAAAAGCAGGTTTGTGACATAACGGTTTTAACGGTAGCCTAGTTAAGTTTGAATTCGATATCCTCTTCATTTTGTATTTGTCTCACTTCACAATTACGATTATCTGCCAGGTGAAGTTACTATTGGTGTTTCTGTTTTTATGAATTCTTGGGAAACAATGGTTTATATGTTCAATGATAATCATCCAGGAAGAAATGTACGACACAAATTCGTTTCGGAATAATTGAACAAATTTATGATAGGGATACGATAGGGTACGATAGGGAAAGTAACATCAAATGTTGATATGTCAAAATGTTTCCCTCTGTATACTATTATTGACGTTTTTTTTTTATTTTTCCTGAAAATATTATACCAAAAGATATTCAGGGTGGCTCGTTTAGAATGGAATGCACTGAAAGGAATGAAATATTCGGAAAGAATTCCGATTTTCTGTTATGGAATATCATTGACTTGGCCACTGTTTTGCACCGATGAGTGGCTAATGAGCCCGAAACCGGTCTGCA